ATCCCATCTCCACACTCTGTCTTTTCCCATCCAACCAATACTTTACCTTTTGAGAAAACACTGCGCACTCCTTAGGGAAGGAAAAACATAACACAATAAATTCTCCTGAAGGAACTTTGATTTTTTTTTTCCTACTTGGGGACTCATTTATCTGCTATATTTTTTCAGCCAAGGTTCCTTGAGAATCAACAGGAATACATCAACATTTTATGATCTGAAAAAATTGTTTTGCTAAGGTTGAAAGAGTAACTTAATGGCTAACAGCATTGTTGCTCTCCCAGAGGACCAGAGTTCAGTTCGCAGAGCCCAAGTCAGCTGGCTCATGACTGCCTCCAACTCCAGCTCCAGGGGATCAGATGCCGTCTTCTGGCCTCTTGCACAACGGCACACATAGGTCACACACTGACCCGGAAACACACACATACACATTAACTAAAAGTAAATCTTTTGAAATATTTTGGTGATATCCACACTTACAATCCCAGTAGGAAGATGCAGGAGTACTATCCTGAATCAGAGGCCAGCCTAGGATAATGAGTTTCTTTCTAGCCAGGGCTGCAGAATGAGACCCTCTCTCAAAAGACAAAAAAATAATTAAAGAAATAATTGATTTTTAAAATTTTTAATAAGAACTAATTCAGAGGCAACAAAGTCACAGGGCTACTTTTGTAAGCTCTTGTACCTCCAACATGTCCAATCACAAACTACAAGTCTCCTGAAATAGCTCAGCTCGTCATTGACTGGCTGGTTTGGTGGACATTCATTTAGGTGCCAAGGATGAAGAGGTGAATGAGACAGAACTGCTCTGGAGAAAGCACAGTTTCATAAAGTACTTGTCTCCTTCTATTCCCAAGGCCAGTTCTTGGCTATGAGGGAGAATATGGTTATCACTCTGTTGGCAATTATTCCAGGAAATTGACTAATGGAACCCCAACAAGATGGCTGCTCAGTACACCTTCCTGCACAGAGACAAGTCTCCACCATGAGAACAAGGCCCGAATGTGGCTTCTCTCTGAAACAGCAGGACCCTGGGCCCTCAGCCTTCTCCCTAGTCACAGCAACGTGGCTTTCAAACTCTGCAGAACAGATATATGGAATTCAAAGCCAAACATTTCCTTTTCTGAGCAGAGACTTTGGAATATAATATAGATCATATAGGAAATAATATGTAACATATATATGGTATATAGGTGTAAAACTTGATCACTGTAATTCAACCTTCAGTATTCCCCTTAGCCTCAGCCCAGCTGATACGGCTCTGACACCTCTAGTAAGTCCTGCCTCTGCTCAGCTTTACCTGACCCATTCTTCCTCTCACCGGTACCCTCCTCATTCGCCCCTTTAATTATTCTATTCCCAAGGACCTGTACCAGAGCTGCTTCTGGAAGGTATGAGGTAGTTAGTTTCTTTCTGCTTGGCTCTAGTTACCTTCTCCATAGATACCTGAACCCTTATTGGGTTGCATCTCAGGTTCTGTCTTGGCATCTTTCTGTAACTGTTAATTACTTTCCTGGCTTTCTGCCAAAGGAATTTTGCCTAAGAATATATCCTCACCAAATCGTATTCATCTCTTTAGTCTGCCTTGTGGGTTTTAGGCCTCTAACACACATCCCGCCCTCCGCCTTATATCTTTGCCACCTGGATAAAGTAGATGAGGTCCCTGGGACAGATCCAAACACTAACTGTGCACACATCAAAAATAGAAGCAGAGGGCATCAGTCTGCACAGAGAAACAGGGAGGAAAGGAAACACTGTAAACTCTAAATCCACGGGTCTTCACGGCCACCAGAAGAGGAAATGAAACCTTGGGAGTTGGCTCAGAGATTCCGAACACATGTGTCTCTGGAGGCATCAGATCTACCAATATAGATGCAAAGAAGATTCACCTGCTTTGTGGGAGTTGTTCTCACAACTGCCCAAGATCATCTACCACCCCTGACCAGGTCCAGCACACACATGAGTGTCCAGGCAGTAAAAAGATCCATGGATTCCTTGACTCAAAGTCAACTCACTAAGAAGGCTCAACCTTCATTATACCACATAATTCATCCCTTTTATTCCCACTTACTTTTCTAATAGCTCCCAGACCAAGTAATTACCCAAGTAAATACAAGTAGACCAACTCCAAAGAGGCAAAACCATGATCTCTATTTTCCCCAGGGGCCAGAGCCACACAGACAGGGCACCTGAAACTGCTTCTGTCCCTGCAGGGACTCAAATAGAACCTCAGCCTTCTCAGCAAGCCCCTTCGTGGTCTCCACAGCTACTTGAACAAGCATTTCAGCACATTTTAGCTAATGGGGACTGTAGATGGATGGAGATTGGTTCTGAGCTCTTTACGCTATCATAGCAACATGATTGTGCCCCTAGCTATGCATCCCCCTTGGTTACTTTGAGGTTGTTGTGGACACCTCTGTCGATTCTGCCTTCCAAACACCAGAACAGTATGTGGTCAGGAGCTCCGACACTGAACAGACACGGGTCCAATCCCCAGCTTCTCTGCTTACAGCAGAATGAACCTGAGATAACAGGCCCACTTTATAGTGCTACTGTAAGGTTACATACATGAACACGTGTGGAATGCGTGAGAGTGAGGCCCCGGAACACCCCATGTGGACGATAGCCACCTTGTATGCCCCCATTTTCCCTTATCACCTATGCACATACACCAGGGATAAATGCACACATGCCGACCGACTTCTCCAAAGTGGATGAATTCTCCTACATCTGTGTTCCGTTTTTAATGCCAGCGCCAAAACAATGATGCCCAGGCTATTTACAGCTGCTGTATAAGATCGTGTCTGAGAGCACCACCCCTTTGCCCTCCTTATGTCGCCTATTCTTTTTGGATAACAAAGAATTCCCTCCTCGCCGTTCCAGTTGCTGAAGGCAACATGGCTGCCAAGATGAGTCAGCAGCTCATGTGCAGCCTGCAGCTCTGTGCTGTGTGTCTTGAAGAATCCATGTTTGTGCCAGGGACCCCCGGCAGCATCCGCCCGAGGTGCTCCAGCTGTGTCAGGCACTTGCTTCATTGCAGCTTGGAGCATCTGCAGCTTGGTTTCTGCTCGGTGGGTTTTACTTAGCTGCTTGCTCTTGGTCATGTCTGATTCCCAAAGCCTTCAGTTCAGAGTACATTCCTGCCACATCCTCAACAGGATGTCCTGGACACTGAGTACCAGGGCAAAGCGAAGTTAATGTTCTGTTCCTCAGTCTGAAAATCATGCTTTCATGACTGTGTCCAGCAAAACCTTCAGCAGTGTGGTGGGGCCGGCAAGATGGCTCAGCAGTTGAAGGTGCTTCCCTGGGATCCACATGGTAAAATGAGAGAACTGACTCCCATCTCTGCTTCTCTCTCTCTCCTCTCTCTTTCTCTCTCTCTCTCTCTCTCTCTCTCTCTCTCTCTCTCTCTCTCTCGCAGTGGAAGAAGTGGGCACCCTATGAGCTGCATTTGCTTATTTGCACTGAAAGGAAAGCAGACTGTGACACCTTTTTTTTTTTTTTTAGTAGACAGTGAAGTTGATAATGAACTCTGGGGAAGTCCACACCCTCCCCAACATCTGGCCTGTATTCAGCAGGTGCTCTTGATAGTTGATGATTATTGATAACAGTAATGGCCTTATCTTTTAGGTAGGGATGTAAAGTTACACACACACAGAGAGAGAGAGACACACACACACACACACACACGCATGCACGCACCACCACCAATCCCTTCATCACTACCACCTAAGAACCATGTCTTCTCTCCCTTCACTCTACCAAATATTTCCAGTGCTCCTAGGAACAAAAGACAAGCTCACTCTGTCTCTCAACTAGAACTTGGCATACTGAAGTTGCCCCCAATGCTAGAAGACACGGCTCTTCAGTTGGAGACAGACACCCGATTCATCAGCTAAATGAAGAACACAACAGATACAAGCATATTACTGCACCACGCGCATCAGTCTCACTACCCACAGCTTTCTCAATGGGCTAGGTCACCATGAGCATCGATGCTGCACACAGGGATCTAAGTGAAGACCTCTCACAGTTGTTCCTGCCCTGCCTTCCACAATTTCCTCCTCAAAGCAACTCAGTCTTGACAGTCTCTTGCATGCACTCTCTCACACACTAGTAGTTAATCAAGATCAACTGAGGACCACTGATAAGGGAGCCGCTTAAAACCAAGGGACCCTGCCAGCTCTGGAATTTCCATTTCCATGAATTCTTCCCATCATGGTGGAATTGTTTGATGTCATTCATAAGGCAGAGGGCTTCTCTTAATTTGTCCTCAAAGTAGACCTAATGTAAGGTTATTTCCCATCTGAAATGTTCAACACCTCTCAAGTAAAGCCCCGTTCCTCTGGTCAAGAGGGTCTAGGTGGACTTTCCCCAGGGCAGGGAACCCTGATTGCTCTTTGGGCTGATGAGGGAGGAGGACTTGATCGGGGGAGGGATTGAGGGAAGCGGTGGCAGGGAGGAGGCAGAAATCTTTAATAAATAAATAAGTTAATTAAAATTTTATAAAAAAAAAAAAGAGGGTCTAGGACCTTACCTTTCTTGTGTTCCCTAGAGGACATCATCTCAATCAACATGGCAACTTGAAGCTCAAGCCTCTAGTTTTTCTATATGACCCATCGTAAGTATATTTGTTGTTTTGTTTTGTGTGTGATATGTGCAAGCATGTATACATGTGTGTTTTCATGTGTGTACAGGTATGGGGGGAGCAGGAAGTTGATGCTGAATATATTCCCTGATTACGCTCTACCTTATACATTGAGGCAAGGTTTCTCACTTGAAACCCAGAACTCAGCAATTCAACTAGTCTAGTCAGTAGTCTTTGTGCTCCAGGGAGTCCCTGCCTCTGCCTCATAGGCAGCACTGAGATTACAGGCAGGCCTCCAAGCCCACCCATCGTTTGCATGGATGCCAGGGTTCCAAACTCCCTGGGTTCTCATGTTTATTCAGCAAGCACCTCACCCACTGAGCCATCTCCCAGCTCCCTGTGGCAGTAGACTTACCCTATTGAGAGGCTGTGTGACTCTTCTCTACCACAGCCTAAAGCCCAGAAAGATACAGAAGGTGTCTTTAGCTGAAGATGAATCACCCTTTATAAACACAGTCACTACGCTAAGATCATGGCAAGGGGACCGTGTCTATCCACCCTAATCAGTCCTGTAGCCCAGCGCAGCTAAAGCCGCCGGGTGTGTTCACATCATACATCTGGCCAACAGTTACGCGCAGCTAATTTTTGCCTTGTTCCCCTTGAGTACCTAAATGCTGCCAAGCTCTTAAGAGTGCTTGCACCCACCCCTGCTCAGTCTGCAAGCCAGGCTGCAGGCGGCCTTCTGTTCCAGGAGAAGGATCGAGCGCCACCTGCTGTTTCCGAACCCTCTTTGCCTGAAGCATCCTGCTTCTTAAAACCCACGGTGATGTCATTTAGGCTGCTCAGGGCTTGAAGATGCTAGAGCTCTTCTGTGAGGGAAAGGACAGTACCTATAGAATTGGCACCTGCCGTGCCCCGTGGCAGGCAGTATGCCCATGACTCACCAGGAGAGTCCTTGGCTGAGCCCTTCCAGTACGTGTCTTTCTCCTTTCTTCCTGTGAGTTTAGGGAAGAATGCCAATGCAAAACAGAAGTTACCCACTTAACTCCAACACAGGCTTTTCCTTCATTCAATGAGATGAGCGCATTTTGGGTTTTCTTTTTTTCCTGGTCTGCAGTAGCAGTTCAGGGGGGACATTCTTCATGGCTTCTCACTGTGCTGGCCCTGCTTGGGTCCTGCCTCTTCAGCTTTAAGCATTGCTTATAACTGTGTTCATCTGTCAGTGAAGCCAATCTTTCCTCCCCTTGTGGGCTAAGTCCCTTGAGAGGCAGCAAATGCTGAGTCATCCTCTGCAGTATTTCTAAGAACCTCCTGCCTGTTGGCATCTGGGAACTTCATATCCCAAGCCTGAGTTTCTTCCCAGGGCCCTCAGAAATCAAACACCCATTCCTGGCCTTTCTGAATCTATTGAGGATCCTGGTCCCATGAAACTAGCAGAAAAGAATATGCCCTTCCCTTCTTCTTTCTTGCTACCCTCTTCTCTTGCCTTTCTCCTCCCCTAAGATATATATACTTCTCAACTCTTACTATTTGAAGAGTTTTATTTATTGCTTATTTGCTTGTTTTTGAGGGGAAAAAAAAAACGCCCAATGAGCTGCTCCCGCTGACCCCACACTCACTCACGGTCCCCTGCCTCAGCTTTCTGTTGGCTGGGATAACAGGCAAGCACTATGACACCCAGCTAAGGGCTTTGTTTCCAATCACTCCTAATAAACATAGAGACAGAGAACAACTAGTTTTGCAGCTGCCCCTCTCCCTTGGTGTTCCTGATTGGTCATATTTGTTGCAAAAGAAAGAAGATGCAATCATGGTCATCCGCCAACTGGTTATACGTCTCTCACATTCGGGGACTAAAATGGGAATAGTCAAAGGGCTTACTTGAGAAAATCCTCCTGTCATTGAGGATTAAAAGAAGTAATTAGTGCTTCAATTCCACATGTCATAAGCACCCAAAGGAGGCTGTCTATCACCATAGCAATCATCCATTCTACAGACCCCACCTCTACATCCGGTCCGTATTTCTCACTTGGTCCTCAGAGTTCTAACAAAACTTAAGTCTACTGTGAATGCCCATTTAATTAATTAGGAAAAAGTATGTCATAAAGCAAGCTCTTGATGGCAACAGATGAGAACAGAAAGGACAAAAACAAACCCCTCCAGGAAATTGACAGGTGCTAAAATATAAGAGTAATTGGAGGAGGAGGGCCCACTTTTTTTGTCCCGGCCACCTGGCTAACTTAGCTCCAAAATAGCTGTATTAATGAAATCATTGCTTGGCCCATTAGCTCTAACTTCTTATTGGCTAACCCTTGCATATTAATTTAACCCATTTCTATTAATCTGTATATCACCACAAGGTTGTGGCCTACAAGCAAACTTTCAGCATGTCTATCTCTGGCAGTGGATCAATGGCATCCTCTCTCTGACTGTGCTTTCTTCCTCCAAGAATTTGGTTCCATCTTCCCCGCCTACCTAAGCTCTGCATTACCAACAGGCCAAGGCAGTTTCTTTATTCATTAATGAAAGCAACACATAGACAGAAGGATCTCCTACACCAAGTAATGATTTGGAGAAAGTGCCAGGGACAGAGTCCCAAGAGGAAGGTTACCTTTCTAAGCCTGGGAAGATAGGGAGTGTCTACAGCCTCACCCTTCCATTTCAGTAGAAAGTGGTCCTAAGGCAGAACATGAGTTGTGTGCTCTGTTCAGGGGACTTAGCCATGGAGATTTGTCCACTGACATCTGGACCAATGTCCTCCATGAAGAATGAAGACACAGCTGTGGACATCTGGACCAATGTCCTCCATGAAGAATGAAGGCACAGATGTGGGCATCTGGACCAATGTCCTCCATGAAGAATGAAGGCACAGATGTGGGCATCTGGACCAATGTCCTCCATGAAGAATGAAGGCAGAGCTACTGTCCTGAATCCCAACTCCCAACCCACCCTCCTGCCTTCCACGCCCCTTGCAAGCTCCACATGCTGAAGGACGCTTGCCATCTGTACTTTTCCAACTTGCATAAAGCCAGTAAGTGGCCGAGACTCTCCGGGCAGGTCCTGGGTCAGCTGTACTCCCCAAGCCCTGGTACAGAAAGAGACCCCATGAGAAGGCACACCTGCTGTGGAATGCATGCCTCCCTTCACGCTTCATCTTCTTCATCCTCTGAGGATGAGCAAGCAGAAGCAACTAGACTCGCCGCAGGTGGGAATTGTCATGTACACTTAGCAGGGAGAGGAATCCACAAGGATATTAGTTACTCTCATGCCCAGCCATCCCTGCACACTACGGCACTGGAACTTTCTTTGCCAGGTATCAAGGACATCTATTCGCCAGGCAGCTGGCGTTGAGCAGGGGGTTGAGCAGGGAGCCTTTCTGAGAAGCAGTCTAGCGGGTGAGCCATCTGGAGACACTTGGAAGAGGTGAGTCCATTTGCCCATATGCTGCATCACTGAAGTACCCACTCACACCCTCAATCAGCAAAGAAAGCCATAAGCAGATGCTGGTGCCAGCTAGGGTAGCGTCTCACGCAAGCCCTGCCGTGAAGCTTGCGGGTATTTTTAAGGACTCTCGGCTCCCACAGCCTCAATCTACCATATCACCCCTCAGTTTTGTCAGAATCACACAATTACAAAATGACTGCATGTCAAGTCACAAGCAGACGCTGACACCCATCAACATGAAATGGAGACGAAGATATGAAATCTTAGGGAAGATATGAAATTTTAGGAAAGCTAAAAACTACTTTGGAAATACACTTTATAAGGAACCACATCTTTATTTCTGCCTTTTGATTGTTTCGATTCAGCTACAACCCTCTTGGACTAATATTTTAAAGTGTTAATGCTGCTTTCCATGGTCGGGTTATATATAACAACCTCAGATAAAGGCTTGGCGCATCTGTAGCAGCCAGCGTCTGCAGTAACGCTCAGAGCACAGCTGAATGTCTTCACGCAGCAGTCATGCGCTGCCTGTTCAGCTTAATCCTGAGCCTGAATGTTCATAGTTCTCAAAATATAGGTAGATACCTCAATTGCATAAGACTCTGTTAAAATTAGAGAAACTCTAGCTATACTAAATCTATTTTAGAATAGAGGAGTTTCTGTCAGTTCCCAGCCATTCTCAATGCACCGAGTTTGAGAGTTGTTCTAAATGTGGACGGTGGGACAGGAGCACCTAGAAATATATTAGAAATTGTTACAAAACAGTTCCCTCAGAGACTGAAACATTCCACCCTGCTGGGACGCTCCTTAAGACAGGAAGTAAACAACACTCTATGATTACTTTCTGTCAACTAGTTGCTAACTTGGCCTTCTGACCATAGGATAATTTTATTTAATTAATGCTGTTGTACCCAGTCTGTAGGGACCCAAAAAGACCACCAGGGAGACCGACTCACAAAAATGCAAAAGCAAGGTTTATTGTGTGCACAATACAAGACAGCAGGAACCTCATCAAAGCAAATGAACAACAGCAGCAAAAGGAGGTATCCGACCCTTCTATAGGGCATTATTTAGAAACAACAACCAGAAAAGTTATATTAGAAGGGTGTTGGGTGAAGGATTTCTACAGTTAAGGACCCCTGGTTGGCTGACATTTGTCTAGGGGTGTCTTGGTGAAAAGCGATGGGTGTGTGCTGGCAGGAGATCCTATCTATAAGGGTTGGAACATTAGGAATGTCCTTTGCATGGTCTACTCCTGGGTGGTGCCTGGGTAGTCTCAGTTTGTGGTCTTTATCTGAACCAGGTATTGCCTCAGGGTAAACTATTGAGACTTGGGCCTCTATTGAGCTTGTCATGGCTGCCTCCTACAATGCAAGCACAAACTCACGGTTCACAGTGTGAACCAATATCCCACAACACAAAATAACTTCAAGAAATTCCTGAAACTGAGCAGATTCACTAGATCCCTCCATCCCCAAGATACATAAACAGAAAAGACTGCTGATAGTCACTAACTGGCAATCCCAGTCATCTGGAAGGACCAACCAACAAGCCTGAAAAGAAAGATAAATTAAACCTACCTAGAGGAAACAGTGACCAGCTGAGCCACCTGGAGAAGACACTCTCAAAATTGGTGAGCTGCCTGCAGGCTGTGCAGTGTGCTCCAGGCTCCCAGGCTTTCTGAGCTGTCATCATGTTGGGGTGAACTATTTTTGAGTCATCCCTGCTCTTGGGAGTTACCCCAATAAAACTCATTGTTTCACCAACCTTGACTTTGGTCTGTTATGGGCTCCCTATCTGGAGTATGTAGACATGTATGCGCCGCATCTCCCCAGGAGGTCTGTCACACAAGGGAAATGGAGACTCTCTGTCCCCCTCCCCACAGGTCCACTTGAACATGTGTTTTCCCAGAAGCTTAAGCAGTTCACCTGAACCCAGAAGCCTGGAAAACGGGAGGTGAGTGGATCAGAATTTCCCTGATTATCGAGGCCAGCAGCCCCTGCCAATAAAGTGACTGTCTGCCTCACCTGCTGGCTTCTAGAACCCAGAGCTAAACACAAGAGCTACGGCTGATAGAACCTTCTAGCCAAGTCTCCAGCT